ATTATTATTATTATTATTATTATTATTATTAATAAAACATATGAAAGCATAACAAAACTCACTCTCAGCCCCACGTGAGTAGAAGCAGAACGCAGAGCTTCCCTCGAGCAATGGCGCCGCACAGCAAATCAAAACCACTTAAATCGGTTGACCGCTTGCATTTCCTAGGCACACGGAAATGCAGGGTATTGTGGTTTTTTATTACTGTGAGACAAATAAAGAAGCTCTGATACCCATAAAACGTCACAATCTCCCGAGGCTTAAAAGCCGAAAATTAGTACAGGAATCCTGCACAGATTCCGCACAGGTTCTGTACCCAGGAGCGGACGCGTGCTAACTGGGGACCCACCATTCTTCGAAACAAAGTAGCTGCCGCCAGAATAATATTTCGTTAGAAAAGCAATGAGTCGCACATTGCTCGCCCCAGTGTTGTCTCGGTCCGCAGAATCCGCGATTTATGGGGCCAACGGGTGAAAAATTGTTGTGATCTTCCGCAGAGGGACACTGCGTTCGTCATGATACAGGTGATAGACACCTTTTGCCGTGTAAGTGGACGAGGCAACATTTCTGCAATCTGCGAACGAATTATTGATAATTAACATTTCTGGGTGGTTTCTTATATCAGGACGCCTTGTTTGGAATCTAATTTCTCTATCAACATGTGGCGATGCGTCAGAGAGGTTTCACAAATATGTGACAAGTCTACCTTGGCACCAAATTTTTTGGAGGACTTCGATCTTCAGATATGATGTTGTCCTCAACGTGTGACCGGAACATCGAAGGTTGCAATGATTCCATTCCACCAGTAGTGAAAGCTGGTTTGCTAAAGATGGAAGTAGGAAATCGAACGTCCAACGCAACATCCACTGTCGAACCGTCTGTATATCTGTAGTTTGCATCGATGGTGATGTAATAGATTTTTGTCGGAGACGAGCTAACAAACCAGAATACCATTGGGCACAGAAGATGAAGTTTTTGGTGAGAATGAGGTCCTTCGAACCATTCAGAATCCAGAAATCCAGACCACACTGCAGAAGAAAGTTAGGTTGGTTCAACCTGATCGATAGAACAATTTACAAAAACAACTGAGTGGAGTGAAGGTAGACTCAGAGGCAGTAAACATGAACTACGATTTAGATACAAATTTTAGGTATCCAACGATTCAGATTAAATTTGTCCAGGCCGCAACCGAGCAGACACTTTAGGGGTTGAGCGAAAACACACGGATTCTAAACATCTAAAAGACAATCCGGTTTACATGTATCGGTTGCGCATCTTAGGCTATTCATACACGTGTGGGCGGGCAGCAAAACACATGCGCAATTCCACTGACGTAATCTCACCACATTTGGACGTAACTCTTACTATCTACTGGCCAATTTCGGTTGGCAGAGTAAGTTTTCCACGATAAATAGAAACCCAGTATTAAGTTGGCCATTGATCGCACCAATGCACAAAGTAATGTGCTACGAATGTCGTCGTTCTTGAGCAGTACTCGAGGACTGGTTTCTCAATAATACTCACCTTTACGTAAACAAACCGAAAGGATTGGACCTCCTGACCTCATTCCTATAACGTATCTCTAAGGATGCCATATTGGAGCAAAATGTGTTGGTACTCATGACGATGCTGCTGCGGACCGTACAAACATCCGTAATTCTTTTGCTAGATGAAATTGTTTGGGCAGTCGGTCAACGCGAGTTAAGATGGCTGGAAGCTGTAACAGCCACGGGCACCGCGGAACCAAAGTTTCAAGGTCAGATTTTGAAGATTTTTTATATTTTAGCCCAACCAGCTTTTTTATATACTGGATAGCTATTTTTCAGGGTGCCAGAGAGGCTTTCTTTTCCCCAGTAGGCCTAAACAGTGTTAGCCCCAACTTGCAGAGCTAGCTTAATTCTCGTCTACATAGTCGTTCCGTCCAACGTTTCGCCACTGTTCCACGCTTACACAGTCCCATCTGAACTACCAGCCCTCATAGGCATCTGAGACTGACTGCGACCCTCTTAATACAATCCATAGTTCTCCTACTACCCTAGAACTCTCAACTGTATTCCACCAAATGAATCATTCCTCAACCTGCTCCAAAGTTTCTCATTATGACACCGCTCCCGTCTTCCTTAAAGCGGTCGCTAGATCTCAAATCCCCATCAGCTATCCTCCCGGCATGTTCAAAGAAGCGGTTTAGGTCCAGAAGTTCCAGCTCCCAACCCCCTCATCTCTCGAAGCCGGCAAAGATAGTATCCCAGGCAACCTCAGATTGTTCAGTTGTTCTACCTGACATATCCTTGCCTCCTCAACCCGGCAATACTCTCACCGTGGCCAGTGGGTTCTGAAGTCCTGAATGACCTAGAAAATCTCAAA